TGGGTGGGACTACCCAAAAAATAGATGACAGGTTTGAATAAAAAAAATTAAAACTGTTGACTATTAAAAATTTCAGACGAAAATAAAATTGTGTTTGTTTCACTCACTTTGTTTTAAATAAAAACCACACACATAAAACAATATTTTCATACATTTCTTCCTTTTTTTAAGGTCGTATGAGCAGTCAAGATGACCTGGACGATGACACTAGCTCCCTCTACGGTTATGCAACAGGTAAGCTGATCTCGTTGAACTCGTTAGATGATGACCCGCACGATTTTTCCGATTGAAAGTCACTATTCGCTCTGCCCCCATAAATACAAACTCTCATATAACAACCCTCACAAATAAACAACTCCATCGAGTTAATCTGACTCCATTTAGATTCACCTAGTCTTTGGCTTGGGTAAATGTACTCGTTTTAGATTCTATTTTAATTGATTAAATTATATATTATACTCATATATCTTACAAAGTCTTAATTCCGGTAGTTTCTTGGACCCCTTTTTTATTTTTAAAATTAATGTCGTGAGGATGAAAAAATGGAATCTCTTTATTTATGTTATTGGTGGTTTATACATACACATATACTTACCTACTTCTCAATAATAAATAAATACTCTAGGATAGGAATGGTTAATTTAAATGTACAGGGTGCTCATAAAAATAGTAAATTTTGAAATGAAGACAGATAAAATAATTTTTGTAGTAAATTTTCAAAACATTGAAGAATGGTTAAAAATTTCCAGTGAAGTAAATATTTCTTAAAAATAAAAGAAATATATCCAGCAAGGAAATAGAATTTTACAAAAATTAATATTCTTTCAGTCACCTTTCTTGTGGACATATATTTTCTATTTATGACATAACTTTTTTATACTTTTAGTGTTTTCTATATATTCTTTCTAAGTAATTTTAAAACAAATTACAATCGCTATTTAGGGGTATTTTATGTCTATTTTTTATATCAAATTATCCAAAGTAGCTGATGGTCAAATTGGGATAGTTTTTTTTTGTATTTATTGCATGTGGTTTGTTAGTAATCACTTAGTTGCTTAGCGTGCTGTAGTGTTGCAGGCTCTATTGTTTGCTCAAGGGTTACCCTGTATATTCCTATTTTTTCTCTTGGTTACGTCAAATTAGAATATTTTTGTATCTAATTGACTTGTGACTTATCGTTAGTAGTTTTTAAGTTATTCTGTAATTTGTATTTGAACCTTTGTAGTTTTAGCGTTCCTTTATTAACCATAATTATTTCTATTGATAAATAATTTATTATTTTGTTTTACTTATGATTGGTGATTGATTTTTTCTCACCTGACTTGTTAGTAAAATAGCTTAACCTTTTTGTTTGTAAATTTTCTTTGGCTCTTGTACTTTGTTTCAAAAAAATACAGGAAGGACGGTGTTTGTGTGTTTTTTTTTTAATTTCTGATACTAACGGAGGGCGTTTTTTTACGTACAGTACATAAGCCGATGGTGTAGCGGATTGGAATTGAAAATTAATTTTGTTTATTCCTGTTGTTTTGTACTTAATAATGTCTACATTATAAGTACAACTACCAATATCTAAAAAATGCCTACTATCCTTTATTTTTTTAAAATAATTATCAATTAGCTACTGCTGCACAACTTTATCTCTTAAATTATAATTTTGCAATAATTAAGTAAAACCTATGAATCAATAATACTACAATTTGAACATATGAAGTAAGTTTATAAGCATATTAAAATAAATTGAGTAAAAAAGCAAAAAATTGAAAATCGAATGTCTTCTTTGCTTTAAATCTCTTTCTTTTTACGACATTTTAAATAACTATTTTTATGGGTACACCTGTTTCTACATAAATATTATTTCTTCTACTAAAAATCCCTTCCAAATATTACCTCAAAATTTTATTAGGTTTACACGATTCCATTGGTGCTCACGTTTGGAAGGAAGCAGATTCATCAGGGAGTGAGGGAAGTAGGCAAGAAGACGATATTTACAATGAACCTAGACCTCCTGGTCATAATTCTATTCATTTTTTAGTGGGAGGAGAAGTGTAAGTTTTTATTTAATTTTATTAAACCTGCTAAAGCTTAAATTAGAATGACTCGATATTTTCCTTGCATACAGTAACCACATCAATAACGGATTTCTATAGCTTATCTCATTGTACAGTAAAAATATCGAGTCAATTATATATCTGAGATACCGCAAAATCATACTTAGTCAAAAGCTCTAAAGTGTTTTTGAAGCGACACTTTCTATGAATTTTCCCTTAGTGCGAACTTGTACCACGAAGAGCCTGTAGTTCCCGTAGTGCATAGGCATGCGCGTGTTGCTTCCCAACCCACCTCGATACGAAGTGCCAGTAATAACAATATATTGATTAGTTCAAAAGGCAGTCAAATGGTACGATCGCAGTCTCAAGATATAAATGTGGCCCTGTTAGAAAATGCCACATCAAATCCTAAGCCTGCACAGTCAGAGTCTGCTCTAGACCATAACATTAAATGCAAGGTGATTGCAGCTCGACCGCAATTACCAACAGCTAAAGAGCAATCGCCGTTAGCATTAGAAGACGACGTGTGCTCAACTGATTCGTCGGTTATGGATGACGAGGTGAAAAAACGCAAAAGGAAGATTTTTGGATTCTCGAAGAAAAATAAAAACAAACCGGAATGAAGACGAATAATAACAAGCTAGTTCCGAATTCTTCCAAACAAACCCTAGGGAATATGTTAGTAGGTTGTAAAATGATGTACAACCCTCATTTTTGGTTTTCATTATTTTAAAGTTTTAAATTTTATTTTTTACTATTTTGGTGTGATCGTGAATCATGCTTCTCGTTTAATTTATTTTATTATTATTATTGATTGAATGTGAAGTCTTCCATTTGCAATATCGGCAAACAAAATGCTTTTTTTAAGACCTATGAGGAATGCAATTTAATATACTAGCACAATAACAACCTATCATGTTTTTGAGGTGTGTAGTAAATGGCGAATTTCTGACAATTTGTCGAAATAGGGGAATTATTTGTAAACGTAGGTACTTATAAAAAGAATATAAGTTGTGCCTATATTACGAACGTTTTAAATATTGTAATCTTTTTAATTATTTTTCTCAGAAATTAATTTCTCAAGGGCAAAAATAAACATCTTTCAGTTTTCTATCTTTACGTTAATATCACAATCATAAGGATGGAAGAAAAAGAAATGAGTATTAATAGCCAATTAGCCAAATCACCACTTAGTGCCCTATTTAATATAAAAAATATATTTTGTACAATACAAAATATAAGGTTTTTGATGTGGCAAGTGGTGTTTTTGAATAAATGAAAGGAATTAGTTGAACCAGTGACCAGTCTTATTAGAACGATACCTGTATTAAATCATACAAAAATAAAAAAGTATGTTCCTATGGTCATATCCAATAAGACTTTTCCATTTAGACAATACTATATGACATGAAAAATAATTTTAGGATTAAATAGTTTCCGAAGGCAACTTGGCACAATACCTGAACTTCACTTATGCTAGAAAATATTAATCGATAAAAGAATTGGTATTCTTTTTCACAAGAAAATATCAAAATTAAGGATGGAGAAAAATTTTTACCAAAAGAAAGACTTGTTTAGATTTCCATTTTAAATGTTTTTGATCCTTTTTTTTATTTAGAATATTTAAGAAATGTGGATCATGTATTGTGCATATTCCATTTTTTGTGGGCCTCGTATACAACCTCAAACAATGCAGCAATATTGTACTTATTATACATACACATTATTTTTAACTGTTGAGCGGAATGTTTTTATTCCACCCTCCGCATATTAGCTAATATACACCACACAGTGAAACAAACCAAGTCTAGCTTTTTTGTAATGGGCCAGACGAGATCAGTGTTGTTCTTCTGAATCATTGGGTGTAGATTATTATTGATGTTTGTTACATGACATACACTATATCGTCTGGTTCTGGTTTACAAGACATTTTGATGGACTTTTTATTCCATGTAATTGCTAGTGATAAATATATAATAACTTTATCGTTTTGTTGACTATTATTTGAAAGATAAGTACCATCTGATAGGCTTTAACGTCTCGGCATTTGACAGTGCAGGACGATTGGTGGCACGGCTCATATGTGCGTGTGCGCCACTGTAATACACGTATTTCATGTTCAATAGGTTTCCCATTCAAGTTTTTAAAATAAATAATTAAATCAAGAATTCTAAATAGATTTTCATATACAGACTACTAAACTTATTTTTTTTTTTAAGTATACGTGAAATTCTGCCTGATAATAAGATAAGTTATTTTTTCTAAAATAAAAAAAACAAAACGATAGAATATTTTAAAATTTACTATAAGTTTACTTCAAATACTTCTGCTGGTAGTGCATTTTTTTTTTAAGTTAAATTTGTAAAATCTGTATGACCCCCTCTGAGAAGTTGGTCTACAATATACGCCTATTTAAATAATCCTCTATGAACATTCATGAATAAAATTTTATGAATTCATTTGTAAACTATATTGTTTTTAATTAGCACATGTTATTTTTATAATATTGGTCAACTTTATATTCATAATCATTTTTAGAATAATTTTTTTGTTGCTCTAAGAGTTCTTTTAACACTTTGCCTTCACATTTACCCCTTTTCCAGTGATCTTTCCACCTGACAGGATTTTTTGAATTTCTACTTTTTGGTTCAGGGCAACTGTACACAGTTTCTTGTTTTTGCTTCTTAAACCCATTTGTATGAATATTCCGACATATAAAACATTCAAAGGCAGGAACCACATCTTCTTGATTCCCTTCTAATCCATATTTTCCTCTTTTCAATAGATTTATCAATCGTTTATTGGTAATTTGGTGTCCAAAATTCAATTTTTCTTTATGATCCAAATAATTCAAATACAGATTATTATCTTGATTCACTTTAATTATATAACTTGCTAATGATTCAATACTTTCAAAATTACCAATGAGTATTGCAGATTTGTTATTTGGGAGCCAATCCTGCAAAACATAATTTAATTATTGTCAATAACAAATTTTTAAAGTCTTACCCCAACATTAGGAGCTCCAAGATAAATTGGAACGGAACCCACTATCAATGATCTCCATAATTTTTCAGTTATATAGTCATCACATCTTGCATTCTCAATGGCTATTGTGAACTTATAAGAAGCTGCCAACTGCATTATAAGATTGTGATATGGAAAGGAGTAAACATCACTTTCTTTAAGACTAAAAGAAACAAATTAAAAAATTTTAGGAAGAAAGGAGAAAATCTTTGTTATTTACCTGTCAGGCAGTTTTTTGTTATTCAAACAAACTCCATACGAATCTACTTTGATATACTTCATTAATTCAGCCACTATCATATCTCTTTCTATTGGAGTATTACAGTCTGATTGAATATACAAAACAGGTGCATGATTTTTTAACAAATTTTTCTTTTTTTCTATTGGTATATAATACTGTCGACCTTGAAAAGGACAATTAAGGGTAAATTAATTAACAAACTAATAAAAATTACTTGTAAGAGATTCAATATCTCTTAAATACTGCAGTGGGACGGGAAAGTCACTGTGTTGGTCAAATGTGGATGTTATGTTAAATACTGATTGTCCATCTCTGTACAAAAATAATCCTAAATTTTTAGGCGACTCTTCATGAAAAATACTCCATGGTATATGTTTTAATCCTATGGGCAGATCAGTAGGATTAAATCTGCTACCATAAAATAAATAAGCCTACAAAATACTAATAGTTACTAACAGATATATATAACAATTTTGCTTACACTTAATCTTGAGTGATTTTTATAGACCCTATCACTTGTTAATAAACAGGAATAATTATCACACCTAATCACTCGCTCTACTTCTACAAATGGTGTCCACCATAACAAAATTGGAACACTTTTATACATAAGAATACCGTATATACTCTAAAATTAATGATAATAGGAAAAAATGTTTGTTAAACAATAATTCAACAGTTAAAAACCTTAATAATCAAAAATGTAGTTACTAAAGCCAGGAACAAACAAACTGTTTTATTTTTTAATCGAAATATGGAAGTATACATGGCTGTAGTTGTAAATTTAAAAAATCGATAAACACTACATTGGTTATTTAAAAATGTGTTGTAATTTATAAGGCACTTTTATTTTTATGTTAGATAAAATTAAACATAACATATTTGTAGGTTATCACAAACAGATGACTTACCTAACCTTACCATAACAATTCAAAACATTCATGACAGAACTGCTATTTTTCTGTCATCAAAGAAAAAAATTATGAAAAAATAGGGAAAAATATCCAAAATAAACCTTAACAAATTTTACTTTTGCTTATATCATTAATTAATGGTAAAATTATTTACTGGACAGTTATTTAATGATGAAAGTATAACTCAATTTTTTTATTAACAAAAGTTTTATTAGAAAATTATCAGTAATATAAAATTATAATACAAAGACCCACATATAAAACTTTATTATATTTCTGGATAGAAATAAGAAAGTTCAATAAACGGTTTTTATTAATAAAAAAAAAAAATTTCAATAACGGTTTACTACGAAGTACGCATGCGCACTGCGTAAAATCATCCTAGTATGTAGTATCTGTCTTTTCCGTGTCATCTTTAGCGGCAAGCGACAGGTATGTGTTCCATATTATTTGAAAATTTTAACTGAAGCCCGAAAGCGTTCCTTATTTTAATGTAGTTTTAATTATCAATCAAGTAGGTGATTGATATTTTGTTTTGTCAATTTTATTTACAAAGTACCGTAACATTTCCACACTTTTTGTCAACTTCAATTTCTTTGTTAACAAATAGCACGTGTGAATGGCGCAGCTATTTTGACGAAATTTAAAATTCTCTCTAGTAATAACCGCATCGATTTATAAGAAACTGATTCTAAACGTTAAGTATTTTGTGATTTCGTTTATTTTCTACAGAAATGGCTGAAATACCAGATCAAGCCGGCGATTGTCCTGACGACTTAGAAAACGTTGGCGAAGAAGAGATTGACAACGACATTGAAAAAAAAGCTGCCGAAGTAGCTAGAAATTTCGTTGCAGCTTTAACACACCAACAACGTGATCCTGCTGAAATCATAGCTGCATTACCACCTGAATGCAGAAAGCGAGTGAAAGCCCTTAAAAAACTTCAAGTGGAAGAATTAAATTTAGAGGCTAAATTTTATGAAGAAGTTCATGCGTTAGAAGTAAAATACAGCCGTTTGTATAGTCCCCTCCATGAAAAACGGTTTTCAATAATTTCTGGTGCTTATGAGCCTACAGAAGAAGAGTGTCAATGGGCTTCCGCTGATGAAGAAGACTTAGCTAATGAACTGAATCAGAAAGCCAAAGTTGGCAATGAAGGAGATAAAAAAGAAGAAC